CTTTAACCAAAAGTATAAAGCACTCTCACAAATTGTAAACGTTATATCTAACGAAAAATAAATTTGAAAGAGTTTTATTCAAAAATATTCGTTTTTATAATAATTTTAATATTATATTACTTTTTTTTTTGAATTTTATTATTGCCTTTTCCAAGAAAATACAATAAATTACTTTATACTTCTGGTCAAGGCTGTATATGTATATAATATCCGCATAAATCGATCGTTGCCGTTATTCCTTTGTGTTTAAAGTTATTCATATTAATATTAGGATATTCCCACAATGATTTATTTCCCATTATACCATAACATCGCACATCAATAATTCTAATTAATGCACATTGAAAAAAAAATAAATTTTAATAAATATTTGCTTGAACAGGTCTAAGTAAATATTTACTAAATGTAAACATATACATACATTTATTTAATTAAAAAATCATTAATTTAACTATCTTTTTTTTTTATTGAGTAAATATATATGCTTGTCTATGTTTAGGTCTCAACTCTAAAATCCTAAAAGTCAATGAGGCTACCAGTTCTAATTAGTCCTAATTGAAATCTGTATTCCATTGGCTGAATTTTAGTATTTTAGGATTAAGACCGAAGCATAAACCAGGCATTATTTATTGTAAGTAAATGTTTACTTAATACTATTCGAAAGAAATATATATTAAGATTAAATAAATTTTTTTCAGTGCACTCGTCTCAATTCACAAATGTAAAAGAGAAGAAAACTTAATTTCATAATTAAATAAATAATTAAGAAATCTCATTTGGAAGTCGTTTCTTGTTTGCATGTTTTTCATATACTTAGCAAACCGAGGCCGCGAGGGTTAATCTCATGTAAAAATGTATCGCATGTATTTGATTAACAGGAAGCAAATTGCGTGTACGTAGTTGCGCAACGGTGGTTAAGCGACGTTCACACGAAACACGGTCGCGAGAGTAGCTTCAGTTTTATTTCTGTCGTTGACGCGGCATAAATCGTGATAATGGCAGGCGTTCTCGCAACTAAACTACACAGTACGGTAAGACAATGCAATGTTGAAGCACGCATTATCATAGTTGCAGCGATAATCACGCGGGCTGTCTTATCGTGCAGTTGGCTAATTATTTGCGTACGTACATTCCTTTTCCTATATAATACATTCGTTGTTTAACTGATACTCGATAAATTGAGAATCTGGGACGGGCAACATCTCTGCTCTTATTAAAAATAGTGTAAACTCCCATCGAGAGGACAAAAAAGTGACATATCATTGATCTTTTCCAATTGTACTAGCTCTTCTTTTCATTGGTCGCCATCCTTTGAACCAAAAGCTAAAATTGAAAGACCTGATCGAACGGATAATCTTAACCCACTTTTTCCTACTTTAAATTCATAACTAAATTCGATAATTGAAGTCGAGACTGTCCGCGAAAGAGAACAGAATTTACATTATTAATCTTGTTTTAAAAAAAATTTAATATCGTTGTTGAATTTAACTGGACCTGAATTTTTATTCTATTTAACCGGATCATTCAATGTACCACCGCAAAATATTCAAGAGTTCTATCGACGTTTTTTCAATGTGAGAGAGAGAGAGAGAGAAAGAGAGAGAGAGAGAGAGAGAGAGAGAAAGAGAGACAAAGGATTCTGCACGGGAAGGACATACGATGCAAATTCCCATTGCACTCGACGCTGTATTAGACAGCTAATAGATGGTCCAATGTGTCAGTTGCCATTTAACCGTGTAACATCATTGTCCAAAACCGATACATACGAGGTCTACGTCGCGTCTGCCAGACAAACACCGGCGTTGACATCATTGTACATCAAGTACATATCGAATTAACGCGATAATTAATTCAGGATTTGTAAGATCGATGTTAAAATCTCCAAGCGCGAGTTTGAAGTCTCGATAAATAATACCTCAAATAATACCTACTGGAATTCATAATTTTATTTAATTACAACACCGTCATCCCTCTTTTTCTCGCATGGTTTACGCGTACACATACATAGACACAGACATGATTATTATCGTACAACGCGGCATATAGACGCGTGCTCGAACTAATGCGGCCAATTACCTTCGCAATTTCACTAGTTCATCGCGTTAATTACCGCAGGTACACTTTTATTTTCGACAAATCTCCGACTTATTTAACGCACTAGTAAACGGGAGCTAATTAAATCCCGCGCTTTGCAGTTTATTGCTATTGTACTACGTCAAATTACTCTTTTATCAACGTAAGAATATCAAACTCAGATCTCTTTCTTGCAATTTTTTTCCTAATAATCTATACTTAATGGATACCCAAACTTTCTCTTAATAAATCTTGAATAATAGATCTACTTCTATTCCAACTCATACAACTTTTCGCATTTCGAATGATTTTACGAGAAAATATCGGCAGAATAATATCGCTCTTCTGCGATGAGAGCCTATGCATTGATTTTGTGTCTGAAGAATTCATATGTTAATCAGACGAGTAGGATCACACGTACTACCTACGCGGGACAAATGCAGGAAATCACTCGCCTTCCTAAGGCCGGCTTCATATATAGGGCACGTATTATGCATCACCGTAATAATGCGTGATATGAAAGTTCGCTTAACACCGTAAACGTTAACGCTGAATGAGAACAGGCCGACAGTTATTTAATAAACTAATTATCTATATTTTATATACGCGTGAAATCGTGAAATGAAATAATTAATGTATAGGCAGTTTGTATTCTGCTTTCATTCTTGATTATAAATTTACGAGAATGCAGGCTTCGTGACTCAGAAAAAGTGCTTCATGGTTAAAATGGCCGGTCTGACCGGCTTTCATAATGCGAACATTATAAGATTATTGTGGTATAATGAATGTGTAATATTGTCTTCATATGTTATCATTTAACGTTAAACAAAATAACACGAAATAATTTATAAATTTTTCATTCTATATATCTGAGGATTATTAAATTTTATTTTAATTTCAAGAATTTATTGTCGAATGAAATAGTAATAAAATAGTAATAGTAGAATAATAGTAGTAAAATAGTAGTAATAAATTTATTAAAAACTTTATAATTATATAGTTTTTAACCTTCGATAATAAATCTTTAAAATTATTAATATAAGTTTATATATCCTATTATATTATATCCTATAACAGAATAATCGGATATAATTGGATATAACGGATATAATTAATTTATCATTAAAATAATAGTAGTAAATTTATTATTTCAATATTATTATTTTAATACAGTAATAAATTTATTTGCTATTATTATTATTAAAGGCTTACATTAATTTTAACAGTAAATGCTAAAAATTATATGAAGGGGAATGAAAAACATCGTGACACACCTCATCGGTAAAAAAAAGTTTCCATAAGCCGAATCATTGCATGTCACGCAGTGAGTCATGGAGTTCGTGAACCTTATGGTGCGTAAGCCTCAGAGGCCCTTATTAAGCTTCGCAGTAAAACGTTCATATTGAATATTTCATGGAAATTATAAATGTCATCCTCCTGGCGTTCTTTTTAAAG